AAATTTGGTCTGAGACTTTCACTGGACACTCCCCCTACTTGATAATATATCCACCCAGCGCTCTCACTACACCATCTGAGTTCCACGGATAAGCCATCACCCCCAGAGCTCGCAGCATCACAAGCCAAGGCGGTAAAGAGCGAGAGCGGCGAGGGAAGAGACGAGTTGATCACAATGGAAGCTAGAACGACGACGTTAAGCAAGGCAATTAGGAAAACAGACTGTTGGAAACCAGGAAGCTGGACTGCTGCAGGGAACGGGCGCCAAAAAACAACTAGAAGGATTTGCAGGGAAGGCGGCGGGACAAACACACATCCATGGAGAGTTGCATAGCACTCGTCGGTAGGTCTCTGAAATTCTGGAGCTCATCCTCCCTTCAATATTCAAAATAGTTGTGAGAATTTTTAGAAACCAAGCTCGATCAACAAAAAACGTAAATTATCGCAAAACAATTATTCAAATAAATCCACAAAATCAGAAAACCGCAGAGAGATAACCAGTGCAATGAGAAAACCTCCCAAAATGAATATTATAGCATAATATTGCAAGCTACCATCCGGGATCTGTCGATAGGAGCAATCGAGGGAGAGGCGAGGGAGAAGTGACCTTGGGCAACAACGGTCTAGCGAGGGAGGAGACGGACAGAAGGGCACGGGAGGAAAAAATCCCTCAAACGCGGATTGAAGATGCGGGCCGCGGCGATCCCGCGGCCGCGTCTATTAAAAGATGTCAAATGCCGTTTTCGGATACACGATGCGAACACATGGAATAAACAATGGAGCAGCGTTTTGAAAACACCAAACACGCTTATACGAGGTGCCAAACAGAGCCTAAATTACACAGGGAGCTTGACATGATGTGGAATTTACATACATACCACCCAATTCCTATATATTTACATATCTAACACCTAAACTTCAAATTTTACATAAATACGTTAACTATTCATAAAAAATATATATTTTACTTTTTGAAAATTAAAATAGTGATACTTTAGATATGATATGAAAATTTGTGTGGTATAATTGTAAAAAGTGGAGTTTATATGTTAGATGTGTATATACATCAGAATTGTGTGGTATGTATGTAAATGCCCCTATATTTAAAAAAGAAAAATTCATTTTTGTATACACCTAATGTATATTTGTATTAAATTTTTTTTGTATTTGTTTATTAATTATTTTGCATACATTTATTGAAGTATTATCTATATTTGTTTTGTTAAAATATATCAAATAGATTGAAATACTTGTAATATTATTTAATTTATCAAAGATAATAAATTAGTGCTATTTATTTAATTAATTTATTTTTATAATAAGTCCCCCCCTCAAAAAAGAGCCTGGCCGAACTGTAAGGAGATTTCTGATATATAATTTCTATAAGAGCTTGAAAAAATATCATATGATATAAATTTAGATAGTTGTTATTTGTTTCTATGACTATGTAATGATGTGTCAAGTTTATGAGGATTGATTTCCTTATTAAAAAGCAAATTGCAATGATGTTCGGTGAGATGGGAAGGAATCCAAACAGTGCAAGTTGATTGACAAATGTTAAAATTATCTACGTGAGGTGTAGGATCAACTAAGATAATAGCGTTTAGTGATGTGAAGTTGGAATATGTTTATTCTCTTATAACGTTCTATTTCATGCGAAGTGTTAAAATCATTGAAAAATTGGGCAATACCAATTTTGCAAATGTGTCTATGGTACCTTCATTTTTAGTCATGGAATGCAATGGGATTTATTTTTTATGAAATATTACATCTCGAGTGATAAGTAATTGTTTATTCTCAATATCTTAAACTTTATACCCTTCAATGCTAGGAGGTAACTTAAAAAAGACTCTGATGTGAGCTTGTGGGTGGAATTTATTTCAATGCATTGGTGATGCGGAGGAGGGCAGCACCCAAAAACTCTGACATGATTGTAATCTCTGTCTTTTATTTTCATATAAAAGCTCATTTGGACTTTTGCAGTTTGAAATTAGTGACCTCGTTCCATTAATAAGATAAGTTGTCATTAAAACACGCTCATTCCAAGATCATACGGGAACACATTACTGAAACTATAATGCAAGAGCCAGATGTAGTAGGTGTTGATGTTTCTTTCCACAACAGAGTTTTGTTTAGAACAATTAACACAAGAGTATTAATGAATTATCTCTAATTTTCGAAATAGTTTAGAAAATTCAAGCTGTTTTGCATTGTCAGACCTAAGTGTTTTACCTTACTTTTGAATTGTGTGTTCACTATATTAATAAATTTTTGTAAGTTGCGTGAGACATAAAGTTTGTGCTTAAGGAGGTACACCCACGTGAATCATTTATTATCATCTACTAAGGTAAAAAAAATAGCAATGTATGGTGTGTGCCTGGGTCTGATAAGAGCCCCATATGTCACAATATACCTTATCAACAGCTTTACTAGCCATTCTATTATGAAATGGAAAATGTAATCTATGTTGCTTGGCTAAAGGAAATATGTAGCAATGGTCAATTTTTGCTTAAATTAGATAGATTACAATTTAATTGTTTTTTGTGATGATGTAATTTCTTATTCAACAGATGTCCAGAACTATAGTTCCAAATATTGAAAGAAATATGAGCAGAGAAAAAAAATTGCACTAGACTTGCTTAAATTAAGAATATATAGGTCTTGGTATTTGTTACCCTTGCCAATCATCTTTTCTTGTTTGGTTTTCTGAATCACAAATGAATTACCAAAGACTATCACCATGTGGTTACTAAAAGTGAACTCATCGAGACAAAATAAAATAGAAGTCTGGAATAAATGGTGAATTATGTAGAGGTAGATGACGGCTTAATTCAATATTTTCAAAAAAATTAACTAGAACGTGCTTCTTATTAGACAATGTTACAATTTTATTATTGGGAATTAATTATGTGAACATTTTAGCATGAGAGCAAATATATTGCAATGCACTAGAATCAATTATCCAATGTTTAATGGATGCTAATCATGAAATGTCAAGACATATGCCTATTGGATTGTGGGCTTTCTTTGGTGAAGAGGGTTGATTACTCTAACACGGACCAGTAATGTTGCTGTGGCCCTCATTTGAGTTGCATGTTGTAGGCGGGGTATTGTGCAAACATTGTTAGCAATTGTTGGATTTGATGCTTATCCGAATTGTTAGCAGTTAAGTTGGTTTTAAGAGATTCATGCGCTGCGACTGTGTTGATGAAATATTTTGCAGTGATGTTTTATGTTGCCTTAATTCTTTGATTTTTTATGTCTAGGAAGATATCCATGAGGTCTATAACAATATTCTTTGATATATCTGTAGTATTTACAATGAGTGCAATATGAGTCGTCTTTTTTATATTTTTGTTCATTTGAATGTTGGAAGAATCAATATGATGTTTCTGGCATCGAAAGCTACTCCATTGATTCCGTTGTGCTTGGGCAATTATGTTCCAACACTTCATTATTTTTTTTCGTGGGAAAATAGGGAAAATACCTTGCAACATAGGGTATCAGTTCTATAAGTAAGATCTAATTGCGAATTTGAACAATGGATTTATTGAGTCCCGTGAGAAGAGCAATCACATATTTCATTTGGTAATGTGCATCAAGTGGTTTAACTCCATCGCAGTTGTAGTTGCCGTTAGTGCATATGGGATCGTAATATTTCAATTTCTGCCACAGGGTATTCAATTTGGTGTAATAAAGAGCTGCCAGAAGCTAATTATGTCTCATATTCATCAACTTATTGCCCAATTGTATGATTTTGGGATCATTATTTTGTTGAAAACGAACCTTAAGATCAACCCAAATCTATTGTGCCATTTTTGAATGGAGGAGGCTGGTGGAGATTTCCTTGGATGCCAAATAAATTATACACGCATGCATGATATGTTTATTGCGGATCCAAGAATTGAAGGGTTTGGAATTATTACCGTCAAGGCGAGCAACGAAACCGCCTTTGAATCCGAACTTTTGGCTGAAAGAGTGATAAGCATCTTGCGTCACCTGGAGATGAGAGCTTGGCCAAGGCTATTGAAGTCATGAATGTATTACGGGTTAAGGGGATCTTCTATTTCCATCCATTTGATGGAAGAGGGGCTGCGCGATGACCCCATGGCGAAGACAGGCTTGGCAAATCAGAAATAAGAGCTGCGGAAGGCTTGCTCTGATCCCATATCTGAGGAATCGAGGAAAAAAACAATAACTTTATTAATTCCCGAAAATAGTAATTACGTGATACCATAATATAGACAATGAAACAAAGGTAAGTGGGTGAAGCATGGGATTGAGCCAACTAATGAGTCTAGGACTGTAGCAGTGTGTTGTAAATGAAAAATTAAGTAAAGCATAATCTCTTATTATAAATTTGATGAAACCTTATCTTTTTCAAGCTAACTAATATTGTGATAAATTCCCTTGCCATCCTTTGAAGGAAACTAAGAGTTTTTTTTGTTTTTGTATGATAAAATAAAGCAAAATTGACAAGTTTCAATGGTATTGGTAGATACCTCAAGTGCTGGAGTCAGAAGTCTAGCAATTTCATTCGTTTTAGGCAAATGCAGGAGTCAGAAGTCTAGAAATTTCATTCATTTTAGCCAAATCGAATTTTGAGCAAGTGAAATTGAAAATATATTCAGTTCATAGAAAATGTGTTGAAGTTCTTTTTTCCTTGAGAAGCTCACGTCATGAAGAGAATGTATATGCCCGTGCTTCTTCAAAATTTATCCACGTGATCTTGAAGCTCAGTTTATTGCAGCCGCCTTTAAAGTAGGATTTTTTCTGCAGGGGATCTATTGCTACTTGACCAGAATTTCGCTTACTTTTTTGAACTGCCAACAGGAACAAGTCAAGTTTGTAAATTTATACTGCTTTTTAGTTGATTTTATCACCTTAATCTCTTCCTAGTTTGATACGCAAAAGGCTACAATTATTTTATATTAGCTTGTTACATGTCTTTGGTTATGCTTCCGCAGGTGATTTTTATGTAATTAAAATTTATTTTTCCAGCTCTCCATGTATGATAATAGCAGAAACAGGGGCTTGGCATTTATCACCATGGCTTCAGAGGAAGAGGCTCTTTTGGCTCTCAATAATCTGAATTCTTATGTGAGTTTTTTTTCAAGTCAGGCTTTAAACGATTTTTTATTGATGTAATATGAATTCTTATTCAAATATTTTTTAAGCCTGTGCATTTTAATAATATTAAGATTTCTCCAATGAAAAAAAAGGCTGAATTATGTTCCCCTTTATACAAAATGCTTGCTATCATAATTGGGAAAAGGAACCTAGTTATGAAATTAAATCTGCTTTCGCTATCCCTCCTGAATTTTTTCATGATAACTCGGTGTCTAGGACTTGAATGGTCGAGTAATAAAGGTGGGGTCTGCAAGGTCTTTGAAGAAAAATCCCGGTCTGGAAACAATAGCTCCAACAACATTTAATGTATTTGTTGGCAACTTGGCTTGGAGGGTAAGGTCTCGAGATCTAAGAGAGCTGTTTGGCAACGTTGGGAAACTGGTATCTGCTGAAGTCATTTTCCAAAGCAATCCGAGGAGATCAGCCGGTTATGGATTTGTCTCCTATGCCACAAAAGAAGAGGCAGAGGCAGCAATAGCTGCTCATAATGAGAAGGTAAACAAGTATTTTTGCTTTTTATTCATATGCATGCAAATGTTTTTATTATTTAGATTTTTTGCATATGCTTGGACTAAGTTTTTTGCTTTTATTCTTACTTTTTCAGAGATTAATGGGAAGGAAGATACGCTTGGTTCTTGGAAAGCCACAAGCCTATAAAACTGAAGAACAATCTTCTGGTGATATTCTATCTTTATTGACCTCAAGGGAATCAAATCCTCAAGGAGAAATTCCATTCCAAACTGATGATCGCTTGATTTAGCACAGTAAGAAATTTGTTTTGCTGTGAGAAACAAGTAATTTATTTTTAATGATAAATAATGAGTTTAATCATTTAGGATTTTTTTTGTTAATTGACGTGAGAGAATTGGGAAAAAAATATGATAAAGGGCGCTTGACTGATTCCTCTTAAGAGTCTAAACGTGTGCCAGATGCTGTTATTATTAATTAATTAATACAATTCATTCTAAAAAAATGAGACATTTAACACGTGTAAAATTAATGGTCAATTATGCAAGGTATACTAATAAATCTACATGACAATTTTAATGCATAACCTGTCGTGAAAAGTTTTCACATTATACAATATTTAATACAGATGACAAATTCCTTAATTCGTCATTCTTGATGCAAATTATCATATAGAGCTCCTAACACAGATTTTTTTCCACAGTATTGGATAGTTATATATGGACTTGTCATATGCAAGCAATGGAAATCAAGATTTATTTTTTTTGTTATTTCTCTCTACCCTGTTCTTGTTTGGTATCTATTTGTGCATAAATGTGAATATATTGAAGTTATAATGCTTCGTAATGGAGGTTAACAGGCATGCAAACCTCCAGTAATTTGATGGGGGCTAAATCTCAAAATAATCCCTTAACTATCTGTATGTTGTCAATTTAGCCTAGAATATCACATTTCTCTAATTTAGTTAATTAATTTTACAAAATTAATCCAAAATGATATCTCATGGATTGAATTGGGGATTAGTTTTTGTATCATCAAGAGATTAAATTGGCATTAATTTTGTATGACATTTTTACATTTAAGAATCATTTTGTATGCTTTGAGGACTTAATTGGAGAAATGCGATAAATGATCACATGGGACTATTCGGGGTATTATTTTTAGATAACCCAATAAATGGGATAGGATATTGATGAATTGATATCAAGTACACATTTTCCCATTTTCTTTGGTCACTGAATCTTATTCCTCTCCCAATGATGCATCCTATAATTATTCTATTTCCTTTATCAAGTGTTACACACTAAACAACAGATTGCAGCCTAACAATTTCGGTAATGTCTTGGATGCAAACATTTGTCTCTGGCATTTAAATACATATGTCGGGAGATTTTTTAAATACGGTATGGCAATTGTATTTTTGAATCAAGTGAACGTGATGATAAGGGCAACCTCCAATGTATGCTAAAGCGTCTCAGAAACCTTCAAATTTTACCTTGCAGCATATAACAAGCAATCTACAACCATAATAACGCATTGCAGAAACTCTTAATTTAAGTGGCTTAGTACTTGCCCTAAGTTTAACTGCATAAATTTTTTTCGCAAATCATAAAAAAATTCAAGTTCATAAACTTTTCTACTTCCGCTCCCTTTTTTGTATTTTCTCCAATAGAAATTATCCGAGGTAAAATTTTATTAACACCTGCACTATGAACAATCGCAAATCTCCTGTGCTTGCATCAGGTCATAATTTACGTCTTTCATCTCATTTTTGAAGATTTTTAATAACCACACAATCTGATCCCACTGCGGATGTGAAGTATCATCAGCGAAGAAAGTGTTCTTATCCCCATTCACCACCACAAAGCTCCACCCAGGCGCCTTCTTCAACCCCAATGTCCTCATTCTTCTCAGCGTCTCCCCAACGCTATACCAACAATTCATTGCAGCATAGCTATGTGCCAACTGCACATAACTCCCAGCAGACTCAGGCTTCAACTTAATCATCTCCTCCACAACCTCTTCTGCTACAGCAACATCACCACTTTCCCTGCAAGCATCCAATATGATTCCCAAAACATCAGCGTTAGCCATGGGAGACCTCCCCTGAAAGAATCTGAATGCTTCTTCTACATTTCCAGCTCTACAAAGGAGATCTACAATGCATGCGCAATGCTCGATACATGGCTCCATGCCATACACTTTTTTCATGGAATTGAAGATGGCCAGGCCTTGAGGAACAAGCCCTGAGTGACTGCAAGCTGATAACACCGAAAGGAACATGACATTATTTGGCTCCATTTCAGTACTGAGAAACTTGGAGTAGATCCTAAGGGCAACATCCCCCATTCCATGGCACCCATATCCTGCAATGATCACGCCCCATGATACCACATCCTGCTCCAACATTTGATCGAAGCATTTCTGTGCCATTTTAATATCACCACATTTGGAATACATGTCGACCAACGAAGTCTCCATGGAAAGGCAAGAGTTGAGCTCATGCCTGATCATGAAGTTATGAATCAATCTTCCATGCTGGAGTGCACCCAAGGATGCACAGCCTTGGAGGAGAGATAAAATAGTGATTGTGTCTGGTCTTTGCATCACTGAAATCATTCTGACGAAGAAATGAATTGCCTCCTCAAGATGCCCGTTATTAGCAAAACCCGAAACAATTGCGTTCCAGGAGACCAAGTCTCTATTCTCCATCGAGTTAAACAACGTATGGCCTTGCTCTAGCTTGCTGCACTTCATGTAAAGGGTTATGAGAGAGTTCTCAGCAGCAGTATCTAAAGGCAGCTGCTGCCTCATGACAAAGCCATGAATAGAAGCACCAATTCTTGGCATTCTTAGTTGAGCACAGGCAGACACCGCGCTTGCTATGGTTGTATTCGATGGTGTCAGTTGAGCAGACCTCAACATCTGATGGAAAACTAACAGTGCTTCATTGGCTCGATCATTCTGAGCAAGACCAGAGATCATTGCAGTCCACAACACGGCATCCTTCTCCAACGATCGATCGAAGAGCTTAGACGCGTAGTCCAGTTCACAGAATTTCAGATACATGCTTACAAGGGAGGTAACAAGATGGGAATCTGATGCAAACCCAGAAGTTATGACTAAGGCCTGAACCAAACTGCCCAATTGAACTGAACATTTGCTATTATTGTTTGTGAGTAATGCTAGCAAAGAGCCATATGTTTGTGGATCTGGGAAGAAACCTGCTAGTCTCATTCCATGCATCAAGTCCATTGAACTCTTTAAGTCTCCATTTCTGGAATACCCTGCAATCACTGAATTCCAAGAAATTCTGTCTTTGTATGGCATTGAATCGAACAAAATTCCAGCAACATTTACTCTCCCACACAATGAATACACATTCATCATAGAATTCATGATAATGACATCATGTTCAAAGCCAAAATGGACCACCAATGCATGCAAGCACTGCAGCTGATCTAACTCAGAGACCCCTGAGAGCAATCCCAGTAAAGTGACTGAATTTGGTCGGATTCCGTCATTCAGCATCTTACTATAAATAGAGAAGGCCATGTTGATATCAGCCGATCGAGAGTATGCGGAGATAAGGGCTGAATAAGGAACAACGTTTTTCACGAGCATTTGGTCGAACACCTGATGGGCGTTGGAAGGGTGACCGTTTACAGCGTACATGTGGAGGAGCGAGGTTGCAAGGTAGGGATGGGCGTTGAGGCCCAGTACGACAGCCCGCTGGTGAAGGATGCGGCCAAGGGGAAGAAGGTTTTGGAAGGCGCATGTTTTGAGGAGAGGAGGGAAGTCGTTTGGGTGAGAAGCTGACGCAGCGGTCGAGGGGAGAAGGTGAAGATCCTGTAGATGGTTGCATGGCCGGAGTGCTGCGGCGGCTGTTGGAGTAGGACGTGGTGGGGCTGGTAAAAGAGCTAAACGGGGATTAGTGGCGTGAGAAGGTTTTACATTTTTCATCTACTGTTCTTATTGACTGATAACATTAGGATTCTGGTCATTAGATGTGACATTGCTTGGTTTTTCCGGCAGCAGTACTAATTTAGGGGTGCAGTTGGAATATCATAAGATTTATTTTAGATGATTGAAATTGAATCTACTTTGATTTTTTTTTAAGTTTATTTAATATTTTTTCGTTGATTTAATTTAATGATTTAAGATGGATAAAATAATTGGAATAGGTCAATTGTACCTCTATAATTATTAGGATGATTATAGCAGATACTTTTCTTTAAGAGCTCAAGTGGCATGACTGTAGTCAGTGATGGGCAAAGTTTTGGGTTGTGGGAAATGGGGGAAATAATGAATGAGATAATGACTGTGGGCAACAATGGCAACACATGATGATGGTAACAATGTTGACGAGCAAGGAAAGTTTGGACTTGTATTGCTAGTTTTCCTACATGTGAACTTTACCTAATTTGAGTGATTTTCAAGTTTGTAAAATAGTCATTCTAAATTTGAGTGATTTTCAAGTTTGTAAAATAGTCATTTACTTTACACTCATAATACTTACAATTAAATAACATAAATTTTATTAATTGCTGATATTACAAATTCCAAACATAAATAAGTTATATTTTATTTACTTAAAACAAAAGGATAGAAAAATAAAATAAAAATCCTATAATCATTTACTTTACACTCATAATACTTGCAATTAAATAACATAAATTTTATTAATTGCTAAAAAAGAGAAATAACTATTAAATGTGGCTTTAACTTGAAAGGGTTGTATGAGGATGCAATTATAAATGTGGCCAATACGTTTGGTCAGGTTAGAAATTTTTTGTGAGGGCTAAGTGTAGATGAGAGCTTGGTTTTGGGTGGCACAAGATGAACCAAAAAAAGTAAGCGTGAGTTCTTGGGATTGGTGTTTAGTTCTATGAAGTATAAAGTATTGTAGAGAGAGAGAATTGCTAGTTTATAGTTTGTGTGGAGAGTGGAATAACCATTATCCAAGAATCGGGCTAGGTTTATCAATGGACAGAAGGCGAGAGATGTGAGAACAATTAAGTGTTGTGTACATATTCACTTGAGTTGGCTTTAAAATCATATGTTGATGCTCCCTTAATCATGCCCTAAAATGTACTTTATGATTTAAATTTTGCAAAAGAGAGAAATTTCAAGAGAATGAGCCTTCATCTTTTACATTGATCCCTTAATTTAAATTTTGATGCTTTGGTGAGATAAACAAATGCAAGTAGGAAAATGGGAGGTTGAAGAACCTTGAATTGGCAAGGTCAGTCACTTCAAGTTTGCATGAATAATGAATCATTAACTATGAACTATTTTATAACAACTATTAGCCAGCTACTAAACTAGTTTAAATAACTCTTAAAAAATTAAATAATAATAATAATAATAATAATAATAGTTTAAAATAAATATGGCACCAAGATGGACATAAATATGAAGCTGTTTAATATTCACTTGATTTGTAGTATCTATTTTTCTCTACTCGAAAGTATTTTATATTATAGATTATAAGTTAGAATAGTTCTTCCAATGTTAATAAACCATGTGTTTGAAATGGTGGCAGTGTGTCTCTAGTTGCAAGAAGACATGTATAAGAGAACATTTACAAAATTTTTTCATTGTTTTTAATGAATTATTCTATCAATTCCAATACTTTTGAATCCCTTATACACTTGAATCTTAATCACAATAAAATATGAGCATAAATCATGTTAAAAAGCAAACTCATAAAATAACCAACAACAATAACAACAACAAGCCTTTATCCCACTAAGTAGGGTCGGCTACATGAATCCTTTTTCTCCGTTGCGTTCTATTGAATGTCATATTTTTATTTAATTCTAATAAATTAAGATCAATTTTTATACAATATGCTCAAGTCTTTCCAGGTCTACCTCTGCCTTTCTCAACAAAAGTCGAATCTAAAACATTTACTTTCCTAATCAGATCATCAGATGATCGACGTTTAATGTGACCAAACTAATGTGACCAAACTATCTAAGATGACCATCTAAGACGACTTTCTCTAATTTTATCTGTCACAGGAGCTACACCAACCCTATCATGTATACATTCATTTTATATATTCATTTCACATTTTATCTCTAAGTGTAAAGCCATTCATCACCTAAGCATTCTCATCTCGGCAACACGTAACTTAATTTTATGCTTCTCGTTTAAAAGCCAACATTATATGCCATAGAGCATTGCAGATCTCACCTCCATCTTATAAAACTTTCCTTTCAGTCTAAGTGCTACTTTTCTATTACTAAATAGGCCCAAAGCATCCTCCACTACAATTAACCAATTTGAATTCTACTAATAGCATCCCCATCTATATCACCACCACTTTGAAGAATAGACCTGAGATATCTAAAGTGTTCGCACCTTTTAATAATTTGATCACCCATAGTTACAATTCTGTGGAATAAGTAGGATTTTTCATTATTACAATAAGGTGGTTTAATGTGATATAAAGCATAAAATTTATCCTTATACTGCAATGATTAATACACTTAATGGGTAGTTATGGTATATATATCATCTTTCATGATAAATACATGTAACACGTGTTAGTGAAGAACTTGAAAACGATGTGATAATAATAATATAACATAATATAAGAGATGGTGAGTTTAATCATTAAGATTAGGAAGCTGCAAACTAAGTCGTCTAAGGTACCAATCAACTTAAGATAATATGAGCTATAGTGGTAAATAAAAGTGAAGTCCACTGCAGGTTGATGTTTAAAATCATAATAAGTATATGCATTGAAGAGGTGAGAATTTGTCATTCTTCACAAGAATGGATGGTTTTTAGAAATGTCTATAAGATATGTATTAATAAAATGTTTATAATCTCACAATGTGATATATTTAAGATCGATAGTGGTCTAAATACATCAAAGAAAGTATCTATAGCAAGTGGATTAGAGGGGAACCAACTATCATCATGTGGAGTGTTGTAAGTTATTTTTATTTTTATTTATTTTTTTTTTTTTATAATTTGGAGAAATGTTTTAGGCTAGAGCTATTGTTAATTCAGAGGTTAAGATTTTTTAATTTTTATTATTTTGCCAAGTATATTGAGACCTTAATCCAATGCTTTATTTTTATTATTATTTTTTTTACTTTGTGATTATTACCTTATTATTTTGGTGCTTGAATATAGAGGTGGTGTTCTTATTATAATGAATAACGTCAATATAAAATAGTAATTACTCATTAAAAAAAATTGTATTACGTTCATAAGAAGGACATTACAATTTATCTGATTATCAAACTTCCTAATTTGATGGGATTTAGGATATAGTGCTTACTTCTGTAAGATCTCAAACTTCCTATATAGAGATATTACTTGCTTTGACCAAATAACATCTCAATATTATCCCATTTATATGACTTATAAGGAGGTTGCTCATCCTAGGTTTCACATGAACATGCATAAACTTAGAAATTTCTACCAAATTTCAATAGTTGCACCAAAAGACACATGGATGTCTGACTGCTTTTCTTGTTTTTCTTGAGTCATGTTAGCAACCTAGAGACACAGGCCTTTATGTATATATATATATATATATATATATATATAT